CAAGTCTGATCTGCACTGCACCAAGTGATACGCCAAAAATGCTCCACCTCTGTCCTCTGATCTCGAACGCAAATGACATATGCTCTGCTGTAGTGGTGCGCTGGTGCCTCTGAAGATGGTCCAGCAGAGTCTTGAAATGCAAATGCAAATGCCCATCCTAAACCTGGGAGAGCTTCAAGATTGCCCGCTGGTGACAGTCACACCACTGGCTATTAGCTTAGAGTTGCTGCTCACCATTCACCAACCAGGAGATGAGAAGTACTGCCAGGACCATTACCTGCCAATTAGTACCTCTATTATTGCTCACACTTCCCTTTTAACTCGACAGTTTCTGAGATTTCTTCACATGAGTGAACAATACTGCTAAAAAAACAACTGCAGTCTTCAAGCCTGATGCTCTGCCCTGCCCTGCGGTCATTATACTGTCTCCAATAGAAACCTAAAATGATTAGTAGGAGACCTAAAATCAGTCTTTAATAGAATATCTATACGGGAGACCTATTTTGGGTTGTCTGAGAGGCACAACCCAAGTATGAGTATTCTCTCTTCTGGAAACCCATTTGCAGAAATGATTCTCTTTTTGTCCTATTGTTGGAGAGGACGTCGAATGAGTATTGAACCCTTTGACTGTAGCGTTACCCAAACGTTGAATGAGTCTTGTATTTTAGGTGATGTTGTTGGAGATGGTCTTAAGGAGACGTTAAGGAGAAGCTGCCTGCTGTCCCCATTTTTTTACTGTCAAAAAAGTTGCCACTAACACTGCAATCACGCAGTAATTGAATTGAAAGTCAGCAAGTCAGTGGGTCAGTGGCCGAGGAGGGGGGGGAACCACGAGTAAATAAACAAAGTAACGTGGGAGCAATTGGACAAGGGACTTGATCTGGACCTATATCTAACTCCAGCCCTGCACCTTTCCACCTTCCCTCCCACCTCCCTCCCTCTCCGAAAGCTGGAGTGGAAGGAGATCCATTGCTTCCGATGGGTGCCTCCCGTCTCTGACCTCCGACCTCTGCTGCCTTCTCCCCCTACCTGACAGCTACTCCTGATCGGATTCAGGCTAGGTCACAGCCCTCCTCTGAAACTCAGGTACTTAGTTTCTGCTCCTCTGTTACCTGGTCCTTTGCTTCCCTCCCTTCTTGGTCTGGTTCTGCTCTGGGTTTACGAGGGGTGCCTGCTTTCTCTGTCCTCCGATGGATGAACAGAGGATTCGATGAGCAGTCATGGGATTTTTCCCCCGGGGTTTGGTCTTCTTGGTCAGGTTAGAAGGAGAAAGCCCCGATCTTTCTTGCAGTAACCTTACCAGGTCTGAATGATTTCAGAGGGTTCTTTTAGTTTCGTTTTATTATTACTCATCTTGTTCTATTTATCTTGGGTATCCATTCTTGTTCAATTTGACGAAGTATCTGTCTGAATACGGTTTTCTAGAGATGGTCACCAAAAGAAAGTTCATTGTCTCATGGTTACTAGTAAATTTTCTTGTAGATATTCAGAATCAGAAATACTATGACTGCTTGTTTACTTCAACAAGTTTTTGCTTTTTTTTACTCTATCAGAGTTTCAGAGAGATTCAGAACGAGGCTCTAAACTTGCTTCATCTGTAATTATTTTCTGCGCCGTGATCAACGCATGTTGCACCATCACGTGGAGTCATTATTCTTTTGCAATTTTTTTAAACAACACATACTAGCTAATCTATTCCCCTTCGTTTTCCTTGTGATCTAAGCAAGCGGACCTGAATACGAATTGATCTCTGCGGTGCAACCCCGTTGAAGACATGGGGTCTGGGGACTGGTTCAAGACGATCATCAGCAAGAAAAAATCGAAACGGGCAAAGTCAAAGCACGCAAAGGTACACTCCATCATCCTCCTTTCTTTCTTTGCTAGCCTCGAGAAAGAAAGAAAAAGGCCTTTCTAACCCATTTCCAAGCCCCTCCTGTCCTGGATGTCCTGTACACCAGCTTGCCTTGCATGCCTTCCAAGCAACCTGAAAAGTGATGCCATTCATTCCATTCCATCATTAGGAATGGCCAGGACAAGTGTGCTGTTGCTGTGCTTGTGCTAATCATAATTAGAAAGTTGGCTGTAAGGAAAGCTTGGTTTGTTGGTAGCAATAATGGAAGGTTACTGATGCTGGCTTGTTAGAGTTAGGTGCTACCTTCAGGATAAGACCTTTCTGCATATATGGACATACTTGGTTGCTCCTAATTGGGCCCATTAAGCGACAGCAGGAAATCATAAATCGTCTACTTGGATAATGACTAATTGTCTAATTGTATATGCTAAATATCAAAGAGTTCTTTTTCCTTGAGTTCTTTTTGCCATAGCCCATAGCTGCTTGTTTTCTCTGGTGTTGCTTTAGGATGTGATCTGGCATTTGACAACGTTTTCTGTTTGATTCAGTTGCTGAAATTCTGTAAGGTGTGTTATCTTCAAGTCTCGCTTTTGAATTTGAATCGGACATTTGGAATAATTTGACTATGGAATCGATCTGTGCTGACATTTCGAATTCATCTGCCATGACACTTCTTCCTGCATAAATATTTAGAGATCTGTAAGGAAAACCTGATTTGTTGGTGGAAGTAATGGGAGTTTACTGATGCTGACTTGTAGAACAGTGTGTTAATTAGACTTAGGTGCTACCTTCAGGACAAAATCCTCTGCGGATCTGGAACATCAATGGTTACTGCTAACTGGGCCCATCAACCCATCAACAAACAGCAGGAAATCTGAATTTTTTACTTGGGTAATGATTAATTAATTAAATGTGCTAAATATGTTTTTTTCTTTGAGTAGTTGAGTTGTTTACTAGTTATGTCACGGTTTCTTGTTTTCTTCTGCATTGCTTTATGTGATCTGCATGGCACGTATAAGAACCCGTGTTTATTATTTATTAGGAACCTCCACAGTTTTTGTTTGATTCAGATACCAAAGTTCACTGAGAGTTGTTATGTTCACTCTCATTTTTTGACTTGGACTGGCTAGCCAAAGTAATTTGACAACTGAACTGATCCTTCATGACTATTTCCACCCATATCAATATCAGAGGTCGGATGACCTAATGAAACTTTACTAGTCCTAGTTGACAGGAGGTGTATTTTTGGTTTATGGGGTTTTCAAGTACCTAAGAATTATATGCACCCATAACTAAATTGACTGACGAATATTTTTCAAATGCGTGTGAGAGAATACTGTACCAATGATTATTAACTTCCAACCGTTTTCATATATTTCTTTTTACTAATGAAGCTCGCTGGTCAAGTAACAAATGGAGGCAACCAGACAAATCAGAAGTTAAACGGCCCTTCTTCCAGTAGTGACGACCATGAAGACAATGCAGCACTAGAGGAATGGGCTGCTACTCGCATTCAGAATGCGTTTCGGAAATACAGGGTAACATGAATCATTAACATGAATCATGGATGATATGGATTGCACTACCGCTACATTGACTAATGAATGGAGATATTTTACAAACAAATTGTTTACCTTTTTTAATACTGCTCATCACTTACATGCAGGCAAGGAAGACCCTGCGTTGTCTCAGGGGAGTGAAAAGATTGCGTGTTGTCGGTCAGGCGAATCCGGTTAAGAAGCAGACTGCTGCCACGCTGAGTTACATACAGTCTTGGAACAAGTTGCAGTCAGAGATAAGAAACCGGCGTGCTTTCATGGTCACCGAAGGACGCAACAGGAAGAAGAAGAAGGAGAACCAAATGAAACTTGAGGCAAAACTCCATAATTTGCAGGTGAGTTTTAAGTTTGAAGCCCAAGAGAAACTAATTATTTTTATCTGATGACATTGCATTTTTTTGTGTGTTTCCATCTTTTATTAGGTTGAATGGAATGGAGGTTCGGATACTATGGATGAAATACTTGCTAGGATACAACAACGGGAAGAAGCAGCAGTGAAGCGTGAGCGAGCCATGGCGTACGCGTTCAACCATCAGGTTTATTATACTCACTAATTCTGATGTTGTAACTCATTCTATTATAGAAATCCACATCTAAGGTTCAAATTAATATATAATAGTCAATTTTCATTTAAAATGTAGACACAATCATAATTTGTTCAAGAGAATAGCAGCATTATGAGTGCACTAACAGTGTGAAGACAACGACGTACTTTACCCTTTGGCAGTGGAGAGCAAGGTCTGCTACAAGTCTAGGAAACTTCAGCTATGAAGTTGGCAAGGGTGGCTGGGGCTGGAGCTGGATGGACCGCTGGATCGCAGCACGACCATGGGAGCCACGATCCTTAGTCCACCCTGAGAACCCAAAGAAAGCACAGGCAAAAAAGGAGAACAGCACAAACCCATCAGCTCTCAAGCTGCAAGGCTCTATTACCCTAAGCAACAATATCAATGACCGGAAAGCCCCTAAAAAGAAGCCATTGCCTTCACCTTCTCCTACTGATCAGAGGAAGCCATCACCGTCGCCTTCTTCTGATCAGAAGAAACCAGTACCGAAGGAGCAGAGAGCAAAGGCAGCTGGTACTCCTCCAAAACCAAAGGCCAAGGATATGAAGGGGAACCAAGAAAAAAAGCCGCAACAGAAAGTGGCTCCTTCGGTCAGCGCATGAAGCTTGCTGCTGCGAAAATGGTTACTGATCATGTAAGATATATCTTGTGAAGTTCTCTCGTGTTCATCACTCATACTTGTATGTCTTTGTTTTTGTTTTACTGTGATATGGGACGAGGAGTGTCCAATCTAGAATGTGCTTGGTTTGAGCGATTGCGCACATACAACATATCTGATGAGAATTGTTTTGGTTAGGATTAGGATCTCTGTTATTCATTGTTGTGCTGTTGTAATAAGACTTGCCTAGCTATCTGCTTGAATGGAAGGTCTTGTTGGAACAAAATGTAAGCTCGTTCTGTCCATAACATTAGGATCAAATGGAAATCAGTCGTATGTATATTTGATAACTATTTATTCAATCCAGATTAGTATTAAATTCAAATTTGATGCAGATAACTCTGTTTCCAGTATCTCTAACAAGTTCACAGCTTTCCCGCTGAGCTCAGCTGCGGTTGCAACAGCAGCTCCTGCATTTCCTCTCTGAACCCAGCCAGCCCCGTGCGCTGCAGCGCGATGAACACCTTGAACCCTCCCCGCCGCCGCTCATCCCCCGCACCATAGGGCAGCAGGAAGCACGGCTCCGTGCTCCCGAGGATCCTCCACGAGAGCGGCAGCACGGAGTCGGGGCCGCCCCAGCCGAAGTCCACCTCCCCATGGCCGAGCCGCCGCCAGTCCGTGAACGCGCTCACAGCGCCCGCCGTGACCCCGTCGTGGCGGTGCAGCTCCTGGAAGTCGACGTAGGATCGCACGTACTCGTCGTCCACGGCCTGCTTGCTCTAGCTTATCAGGGCGGCGGTTGCCGCCAGTGGCTGGGCCACGAGGTCGCAGGCGGCCAGGGCGACGTACACCGGGACGCACACGTTGCCCCAGTACCCGTCGGGGGGCGGCGGGTCGACGAGCTTGCTGATGTTCATGGAGTACACCATCTTCACCACCTCGCCAGAGCTGGTCCCGTTTGCCTTGACCCTGGTCGCCGGTCCACGCGCACGGTGAGCATCTTGCTGTGATCTGAATTCTCCGACAGGCAGTGGAGTGCTTACCTGGCGCGCCAGATGAACGCGGCGACAACCTCGGAGGTCGTGAGCTTGACGCCAGCCTCGTCGGCGATCCGCGCTCTGAGCGCCTCCACACGCGCGTCGCTCACGTGGAAGCATTCTCTCGTGAGCTGCCGCTGCTGTTCGGGCCATTCCCCCTCGGCTCCATATGGCCCGCGCCGCGCGACGTCGCCGTCGAGCGCGAGGACGCGGTCGAACACCTGCGTCGCCACGCGCGGCGGGCGCCTCGGCCCCAGCAGCTCCCGCCGCTCCCACACCGGCGCGACCTCCGGCGTCCCCTGCCCCAGCGCGAACCGCGCCGCGGCGGTGAGGAACTTGGTGGCGCCCGCGCCGTCGCAGAGCGCGTGCGCCACCCGCACCCCGAGCGCGACGCCGCCGCACGCGAACCGCGTGGCCTGGAGCGCGAGCACCGGGGTATCCGCGGCGTCTTCGGCGTCGCCGTCCCCCGGTGGCGCGAGGCGGTCGAGCTGCGGCGAGCCGGGGCAGTCGGTGTCGACGTCGGCCGCCGACAGACCGGACTCCGCGAGGACGATGGGCACGGCGCCAGCGCCGACCACGACGTGGCCGTCGCGGAGGCGGCCCGCGAGCACCGGGAAGAGACCGAGCGCGGCCTCGAACGCGGGCGGGAGGACCGCGTGGGGGTCGATGGACGGCGGCGGAGGTGGGAAGAAGCGGAGCGTGCGGAAGGTGACGTCGAGCGCGTTACGGTCGGCGTCGAGGCCGGAGAGTGGGAGGGCCGCGTGCTGCGCCGGAGCGGGTGGCGGCGACAGGCGCACGGTGTCCAGAACTCGCAGTCGCAGCTGCTGTGGCTGAAGCTCCATGGGAGGAGCGCGCGTGAGCCGCCCGTTCGAGCTGGAGAGCGACTGCGTCAGTGCAGCGACGGACTGACAACCAGTGCTGTATGAGTCGGCGGCCGTGTGAGAGTTGGATCGTGCGCCGCGGCAATGAAGAGGACAGCGAGGAGCGGGAGCTGTCGATGTTTAAAGCTGTCAAAACATGGAGGAAGTCAGGAAGTAGGTGGCATGGCAGATTGGCAAGAGTTTTGGTGAAATGTTTTGCGGTTTCACAAGGAGAAGCGACGTGGAAGCAGAAGCGCCAGTAGTCCAACATCAATGGCGGACCTCAGGCAATTCGTTTCCATGTGTTCTCTCTCCCCTCGGTCTCGGTACAGTGTCGAAGGAAAAGGAAAAAATAAATCCATTTTACTTTAGTACTATTGTCAATTTGTCATGTTCTAGTTTTCTTCGCCGAATAATAAACCCAGACATTTTAACCTTCATTTACTTCAGTCTTGTACGGAGTCGCTTGTTTGCACAGAATCAACTCCTTCTCGAGCTCTTAAGTTTTTAGGCACAGTTTCCTGTGACTCTAGTGCCTCCTGCAACAACAACTGTATCAACACTAAGAGCCGTTTTTCTCTCTTGTCACGAAATAAACTTAAAGAAGTCATGTTTTGTGGTTTTTCGGCTCTGACTCCGGCTACTATGATAATATAGGCCCCGTTCGTTTCGCTGAAAAAATAAGTCGAAATACTGTTCCGACTGATTTATTGTGAAAGAAAAATACAGTTCCGGTTAAAAAAAAAACAAGTTGAAAAAGACAGATTATAAGAGAAGCGAACAAGGCCATAGCATGAAACCTGAGGGAGGAAGTCCTACCCGATATTGAAACTATGCGAGCGTCCGGACCGTCCGAACGAACCCGCACACAGAACGACTCGACCGAGCACGTCCACTGACTCCTTATCCCATCCCGTGACCCCCCGCGCCCACTCGCTCGCCCGCTGTCCCCCCTCCCCCTGCTCCTCCTCCGCACTCACTCGGTACCGCGCCGCACGCGCCAAGTCGGTGCCGACCCTCCTTCCCTCCCTCGCTCTGCGACCTCCGTGCGACCCCACCGGAGACGAGGACGACGGCGGTAGCTCCAACGAGGTAGGTCGGTCATTCTCTGGATCTGAGCCCTCCTCCTCCTCCTTTGGATCTGAGCGCTCCTCCTCCTTTGGATCTGAGCCATCCTCCTCCTTGTCTGGATCTAAGGGACGCCGCGGTGGCTAGAGTTTTCGGCGAGCTCTGGGGTCCTATTCCCTCCCTCCCCCCCTAGGCGAGCTCGAAGGTGATGGGCTAGGGGTTAGGGGCTGTGTTTGTACTTTTTTTGCCGTTTCTCCCGTGTTGCAATGAGTTTTTTAAGGATGTTGCAACTGATGATTTTCGAATGTTGCAATGGAATTTTTGGGTCGTTACAACATATGTTTTTGCGATGTTGCAGTACTACTGCTTGAGATGTTGCAGTACATAATTTTTTATGTTGAAGCATATATTTTTCGATGTTGCAGCATATATTTTTTCGATGCTGCAGTACATGTTTTCGATGTTGCAGTACATATTTTTCGATGATGCAGTACATAATTTTTGTTGTTGCAGCACTTGTTTTTTTATGTTGCAGCATATGTTTTTTTGATGTTGCAGTATATATTTTTTCGATATTGTAGTACATATTTTTTGTTACTGTAGTACATATTTCTCGACGTTGCAGTACATGTTTTTCAATGTTACACTATATATTTTTGCGATGTTGCAGTATCTATATCCCGATGTTGCACTATATAGCTTTTCTGTATGTTTACAATGTTGCACTTGAAGTGTTTCGTACTCTTTTTCATGACAGGGGGCACGGTGGGGGAACGGGGAATAAAGGAGCGGGTTCCGTTTCTATTCCGTTCTATAAGAGAGGGACGGACGGGTTCTGCTCTATCCGTGGGCAGGGCCGGGGCGGGTTTGGGGGAGTGGACCAGCGTCTGGACACACTCACGCGCCAGACGTGCGCGTGCTAGATAGCCTGTTCGTTTAGCTGGGCTGGCTCGTTGCTGGTTTATGAAGAAATACTACTGGCTAGTTTGGTATGAGAAAAAAATACTATTTTGACTGAAAATTTATGATCATTTACGAGCAAGCCCAGCCAAACGAAAACAAAATGGTATAATTCCGGCATGATTGTACGCGACTCCCACACGGCCACACACGTGATGATTCCAAGAAGACGCCTTCTGCTGTAGCGGGGGGAACTGGCATTGACCTGTTTGACGTGGCGTGATCTGACCCGTCCAGCCATCCAATCGAGCGGTCGCGAACGAAGAGCAGCGAGGTGTATAGCAAACTGAAACCGAAACAACGGCTCCCCATCTCAAACGCTCTCCCTCCACTCGTCCCGTCGTCCGCTCCAGCGCGCGCCCCACGCAGATGCCGCCCCCGCCGCCGCTCCACCTCCGTCCCTCCCTCCTCCCGCCCCACCCTATCTCTCCTTCTCGCCGCTATGCCTCCCGCTCACCATCCGTCGCGTCCTACCCTCTTGCGGTACGCCCCCTCGCCCAACGCCACGGTGGGCGCCCGCGCCCCCTTTGCGCCGCGCGGGACGAGGCCGAGGCCGAGGCTGAGGGCTTCGCGTGGCCGGATGGGTCCGAGGAGGAGCTGCGGCGGCTCCTGGAGCTGCTCCCTGGGGAGCTGAGGCGGCGGGTGGAGACCCACCCGGAGCTCCCGGCGCTTGTGGAGGTGGTCATGGACCTCGGCCGACCCCCGCTCGCGCGCTTCCCGTCCGGAGACTTCCTCCTCTCCCACCGCCCCATCTCCTTTGACGACCTCCGCCACGCCACCTCCCAGGTCCAGCCCAACCCACTGCGCTTATAATCTGTTAAGCGTGGCGCGTTAGCTTGCTTGATTAGTTAGAGTGATAATGTCCCTTGTGCTAGGTTGGGGACTTTGGAGCGGATAATCGTGCTGGAATCAGCCGGACGCTGCACCGTATCAGCGCCATTCGGAACCGGAAGGGCGTCATTGTAGGCCTCACTTGCCGTGTTGGGCGCGCAGTGCCCGGGAGCGCTAATTTGCTTCAGGATTTGGTTAAGGATGGTGGCTCATTGCTGCTCATCGGCCCACCTGGGGTGGGGAAGACTACTGTCATAAGGTAGGATCGGGCTGACAAACTGGATTTAAATGTTGATTGAGTAGTTGCGTGATTGAGAAATATACACAATTACACATCAGCTAACAGCTATGATCACAGATGTTTATGTGACAGAGTACCAGACTACCAGTACCTACCCATTTTAGCATCATGTCATTGTCTTGTCATGCAGAGAAATTGCCCGTATGTTAGCTGATGACTATAAGAAGCGGGTGATGATTGTCGACACATCTAATGAGATTGGTGGGGATGGTGATATTCCTCACCCTGGAATAGGCAATGCACGCAGGTTGCAAGTGCCTAACCAAGACATGCAGCATAAGGTCTGTTACCTGTACCTGAAATAAGCTGTTTTGTCCTATATATGGAGTGTGAATAATACAGTAGGCCTATGAATTAGTATTATTCTTAACTGTGCTTCCAGCCAAGTAAGTTATATATTGTGTATTGTATATGCCATAGTGTAACTCAAAAGTCTGTCTCTGTTACCCACCCCTGATGCAAAAGGGGTTTTATAGTGCCTGGCAATATTTGAAAACTATCCTATAAGGATTAGGGAATCCTGATCATAGTCAGTTTTTGTATGTTTGGGTGAACTCAATCTCGGACCTTTGAACAAACCCCCCCCCCCCCACACACACACACACACCCCTCCCGGCGGCTTTTGCTTATATAATCACAGAACTCATCTATGGTTTAAGAAGGTCACCGGACCAATTTATTTGTGCATTAGACACTGGCGTGCTTTTTAGTTCAACACTTACTGTGTGTGCTGATTCGTTTATTCAATATCAATCAGGTACTGATAGAAGCTGTGGAAAACCATATGCCTCAGGCAATTGTTATTGATGAAATTGGAACTAAACTAGAGGCCATGGCTGCAAGCACCATTGCACAGAGGGGCATACAGCTTGTTGCAACTGCCCATGGGGTAACGATAGAGAATCTGATCATGAACCCATCACTAGAGATGCTTGTGGGAGGAATACAGGTAAGGATGTTCTGCATCATCCTATTTCCTGTTCTCAAAATATTGTCTTTGCATACCACGGTAAAAATTAACAGTTCTACTAGGTTAAAACAATGAAAAATAACATAGTGTACCTCTATAACTTCATTACCTGACTCGATTATTGACTTGGAAATCTTTCAGAAATCCATTCAGAGATATAGTTCTGCTGTTTCCTGGCTCTTGCTGCTTGAAATGTAGCACATTGAATTATTCAATCAAACATTGCTTGTAACAATTCCATGATCCAATATAAGAGATGAACACATGGCAAGATTGTTATTAATTGGCATATCACTGCTTTCTTGATGACAAGAAACTTTTCAGAAATAGTTGCTGAATACTAGAAATGGAATAGGTAAAAAATATTGAGAGAAAATTGACTTTATTCGTAAATTAAGTTGTGTGCCCTGTGTACTCATTATTGATCATGACATAGGGCATGTACTGATTTATCTGTACTGTGTCTGAGTACGTGTGACTTTTCAGTTCTAAGTTTGCTTGCTGAAGGTTTTTTCTATGCTTCCCAAAGGAAGACTTCATATAGAGAAAAAAAATTGTCAAATGGTTGAGTGCAACCTAGCAACTAATTGTTATAGCAGAAGCCTAGCTTTCTTCTCGGAAAGCACAGAAGACCTTATGTGCAGTTTTTGTGTTTCTCTTTACTTTTTGGTCAAAAAGAAAAAAGAAGATTTCTAATCGTGCCCTTTCTTATCTAAAAGAGTGTCACACTTGGTGATGAAGAAGCTAACCGGAGAGGAGTTCAAAAAACTGTCCTAGAGCGCAAGGGCCCATCAACATTTACATGTGCTGCAGAGATCGTCTCGAAAAAAGAATTACGTGTCCATCGTAGTCTGGAAGCCACAGTAGATGCTCTACTCGCAGGTTCTCACCGATTTCTCTATTACTTAGCTGCATTATCATGTTAAATTTGATGATGTTATTTATGATATTGAACATGGAAATGTGTAGATCTGATGTCACAATGATTCATCTTGCACTTTTGTTGGTGCAGGCAAGCTGCCTAATGTTGAAATTCGGAAGTTGGGTTCAAAGGGATTGATGCAGGAAGTTTCTGTGCAAAAGGAACAATCACATCTTGGTATCTATGATGCAACTGAATTTGATGGTGACTCTCTAAGGAATGCCAGAAGAAGCTTGGACTCTGCATTTAATCTTGACTCTGCTGAAGGGCATATAGAGAGGACAGATGGAGCTGGTTCAAGCTTGAATCTATATGCATATGGGGTACGGATGTCTTCAATAGCTCATTCTTTTGATGCCATAGTTTTCTGAGCAGTGCGCCCCTTTACATCAGTGTGTAGTTTCTCTGCACAATGATTTTGTATACAGAGTGTGGCAAAGTGCTACCCTCCCCCCTTACTATAGTTGCATCATTTGATATGGACTATTAGGGTATGGTAGGTATGTTGGCTATATAAAACAGAACCATTAAGGTACGGTAGGTATCTACCACTCAAAAGTATGCTTATCTGGTCAGTTACTCCTAGGCCTCTATGATATTGATCTTTGCTGTTTGTTATGGGTAGTAGCACTATTAGGGTAAGGTAGGTATGTTCCATTGAAAAGGATGCTGAACTGGTCAGTTTCCTGTAAGCCTCTATGAAATTTAATCATCCCTGAACCCTGATGATCTTTTTCTGGAGAGTGTATCTGAAGGCTGGTTTTTGGGAGTGGTGTGGGAAGCCAAGTTGTCTTGTGACTTACTATAATCTGCATGCCTACATTTAAAATTTTTTGATTCCTTTTATTTGGGTATACACATAATTGCTTATACCTAATTCAGTAACTTACTAAAATCTGTATACCTTTGTTTGTTTGCATACCCGCTCCTGTCACTGCAACAATAGTGGTTATAGCATTTGGTTGCCGAGTTTTGTTCTAAATTTTTTTTGTTAAGTTTTCCGAACTTAGTTTGTAACTTATTGGATAGGCTGTTCTAGATCTCCGAGTCGACTGCCTTGCAAGCCATTCAACAGCTGGAGTTGGAGGACATTGTTACCTTAACTTACAATATCAGTGAAGCTGATGCAGTGATCGCGTTACATTCAAAGCTCAAGAAGAATTCTCAGATTCAGGCTGTGGTGAAATCCCAGGATATACCAGTTTTCTTCGTGAAGGTTTGCCTGCACACTTGCCATTTACAGGACACTGTTAATATTGAATTAGTTCCAGGAATTCTTATTCATTGTATTGGCTCTCTGTTCTTCACAGACAAACTCCCTGTCTCAAATCACTCGGGCACTTCGTGCTCTTGTTGACAATCACATGGACGAGCTGATAGACATAGACTACGATGATAAAGAAGAAGCAAGATCATCAGAGGAGACTGATGCTCTGGAGGTACGCTATCATCCCTGCGCATCTACACTCCTTTTCTTTTCGGCGGATTCCTGACCGCCTTCACCATAACATCGTTACTCGTCCTGGACAAAGCATCCAATGGTTGTTCCCCGATGTTCAGGAGGCAAGGCTGGCAATCGAGCAAGTAGTGATCCCGAAAGGCGAGAGCGTGCAGCTACTGCCCAGGCCATCAAGCATCATCTCATCCCAAGTGGATCTCGTCGAAAGCTTCAGCCTCCAGTGGGAGGTCATCGGCCAAGAGCCTAACGCGTACGTGAGGATCCTTCCGCACTTCGCGCCAAAAGAAGCTGAAGCTACTATCCAGAAAGAAACCCCAGCGGTGGGGCTCGCCGATTCAGAGAGCTCCGATGACTTGGATCATACCCAGAATGGCATCACGAGGCTACCTTTCCTACCCGATTAGCGCCTGGCGTATCCTTTCAGTTCTTCGTGCCCCTGCCGTTGTACCTGCCTGTGTATATATATATCCCATTTATTTATCTGGGTAACTTTCACCAGAAAGCACTTGCGAGGTTGCGTCTACAAAAGTGGATAGTGCTCTTCTTCGTGTACAGTGATCTGTTGTGGACGGTACAGTCATGTTCATGCATCCCTTTCCTTTTCACCTTTTTACATGCTCTGCCAATTCCCAAAGTCGTTCTACTGAACAAGATAAGCAAGCATAATCGGGTCGTTGCATTTCTGCCGTTAACTAGTGGTTAAAAGCTCCATTCTTGTACCAGGTCACTCGTCGTGCATGCCATTTTCATTTCAAAACATAATACTCCGTACGTACAGCATTTTGTGGGTTCCACATATTGGCTGCTAGCGACTTGAAAATAGCATAGCAGATGCGCTTTGACTCCTGGCTGCATCCAGACATCAATATCAGTTTGAAGCGCCGTTGAAGCTAGATCCTCATCACGTATCCGCCGCGTCCGGCTGCTCGCCGCCCTCGAGAGGCGATGATGCCCGTACGAGCCATGACGGCAGAAACAAAAGCTGCCAATGGCCGGCCACGTTGGTGGCCGCCTGGCCGGACGTGACGTGACGCATTAGAGCGGAGGTGGGGTTACATGGTCGTTGAGCATAAGACGACGATCGAGTAGAGGAGCCACGCATGCGTAGGGGCCATGGCGCGGTCACGCACGAAGAGCCGAAGAGCGAGGCTTTGCCGCCATTGCTCCGGCCGGCCGGCGAATAGGATGTGATGCAGATGCAGCAGTGGAAACTGACACGGATCGCGGTCTAATGAAGCCGTCGTGCGTGCATGAACGAATAATATAGTACAATAATAATGGGGGGCAGGAGAAGGTAGAAAGACATGGACATATTTTGGTGCGATATTTGTTTTGGTTTGTCCGTCTGTCCACGCCCCGTGCGATACCTCGCTCGCTTCGTCGCTGTCTTCGCTCATGCGAAAAAAATTTCTAGCTCATCGCTCGCGTAAGCCACGCCTCCAATCGCTCTCTCCCCCTCGTGAGATCCCTCTCCACCGTGCGGTCGTGCCCCTCGCCGTGCGCATCGGCCACCGCATCGGCACGAGCGGACGGCCTGGACCAGGCGCGGCGGACGACGTGGCTGAGGCGGAGAAGGTCGCCGGGGACCGCCGGTTTCTCAGGCGCTCGCCGGGGCGCGGTGCAGCCAGGCCAGATCCGGTCGGCGCTCGGTCGGAGACGGCATAGCTGAGGCGGAGAAGGTCGGCCAGAAAGGGAAGAAGCGCCGTGGATGAGGCGGCGGCGGGCATAGGCGACGGCGCCCCCGCGGGCGGGCGGGCCGGCGCGAGCGGCCCCCCTCCCTCATCCCCACGTGGGCGGGTCCCGCACTAGATCCGCCGCTGTCGGTGCCCATCCTGAAGGTCCACGTCGCCACCTGCACCACCCTGACGCCCACGGCTGCGGCCACTGCTGCACCGTGACTGATCGGACGCTGAAAGGCTGCGTCCAGTCCCAACTGACATGGTAGCACAGTGGTCAGGGTAATTGACCGGACACTGGCAGGGTCCGGTCAAGCATGATCGGACGCGTCCGGTCGAAGAAATTCATTTTTGGAACCTTACTGGAAACGACCGGACGTTGGAGGCTGAGCGTCCGATCATTTTGTGCGCTATGTTCGGTCAACAGATGACCGTTGAAATCTGACGAACAATATTTGAAGCAGGGGACACGTGACGTGTATCACGTGATCGGACGCTGAGGGCCAGCGCCCGATCAATCCGAGTAGAGCGTTCGGTCACCCCGTGTTGTACCCAGTGAAGGGGTACAACAGCTCTATTCCGTGGGGGCTTCTATTTAAGCCCCATGGCTGGCTCAAGCTCACTCTCTTGGCCATTTGCATTGATATAGCAACCTTGTGAGCCTAGCTAAAGCCCTCCCACTCATCTCCATCATTGATTCATCATCTTTGTGAGATTGAGAGAGAATCCAAGTGCATTGCTTGAGTGTTTGTATCTAGTGACACTTGGTGTTCATGTTTCGCTGCGGGATTCGCTTGTTACTCTTGGTGGTTGCCGCCACCTAGACGGCTTGGAGCAGCGAGGATCGTCGAGCGGAGGGTGGTGATTGTCTCTGGCTCCGATCGTTGTGATTGTGAGGGGTTCTTGACCTTTCCCCGGTAGAGCGCCAAAAGGTACTCTAGTGGATTGCTCGTGGCTTGTGTGATCCTCATCTTGTGTTGGTTGTGCGGCACCCTATTGAGGGTTTGGCGTGTGAAGCCAATTAGCGCGTGAACCTCCAAGTGAGTGAATCGCCACAACGAGGACTAGCTTGCCGGCAAGCAAGTGAACATCGGTAAAAAATTATTATGTTCATCATTTGATTCCGAGGTAATTGGTCTTCAATGTTATTCACTCTTATGATTGATTGGCTCCTTCCTCGACACGACGGTATAACTTTCTTGATCACTCTCTTTACATTACCGCAAACTAGTTGTCAAGCTCTTTAGAGTAGCTAGTTGTGAGAGCTTACTTGGTTGGTTGGTGTGGCTCTTTAGTTAGCCTTTGAGAGCACACTAACATAGGGTAGTGTCATAGGTATTGTGTGAATAGATACTATCTAAACTAGAATTGTGGTAAGTTGCTTGCATTTTGAGTAGGCTAGCGCAACTCTTGCTACACCTCATAATTGTCTAACCATTTTGTTAAGTGTTGTTGTAAAAAAATTTATTAGGCTATTCACCCCCCTCCTCTAGCCATTAGGACCTTTCAAGTGGTATCAGAGCCGAGGTCACCGTGATTTGAGGCTTAACAACTTTCGGTGTAAAAATGGCTCAAATCAACAACACCAAGAAGCCACCCTAATTTGATGGCTCAAATTATCCTTATTGGAAGGCTAAGATGACAACATATATCAAGTCAATCAATAGGAAGATTTGGAAGGTGGTAGAAACAAAAATTGAGATAGAAGATAAAGATGCTCCCACCACCGCCGAAGAAATACTTCTCCAAAACAATGATATTGCTCTTAGTGCCATCCATGATGCTTTGGATGAGAGAACCTTTGAGAAAATCAAGAACATTGAGAGAGCTCATGAGGCTTGGAAGAAATTGGAGAAATCATTTGAGGGCACTCAAGCCGTGAAGGGTGCAAAGGCATATATTCTCAAAGAGAAGTTTGCAAGCTTCAAGATGAAGGAGGATGAAAGTGTGCCGGACATGTTCCATCGGATGAAGGTGATTGTCAATGATCTCAAAGCACTTAGTGAGAAGATAGAGGACAAGGATTTCTCTAATAAGTTCTTGAGATATTTACCCGCAAGATTTGGCATGTTGATCACCTTGCTAGTAAGGACCAGGTTGGACACAATGACACCAAACCAAATCTTGGGAGATATTATGACCGATGATGCTTATAGAGATGATAATGAGAAGGAAGAAAAGAGGGAGAAGAAAGATGAGAAGAAGGATGACAAGAAGAAGAGCGTGGCATTTAAGGCCACATCATCCAAGGGCAAAGCCAAGCAAGAAACATCAAGTGAAGAAGATGATTCATGGGATGATGATGATGATGAGAAGATGGCTCTCTTTATCAAGAGATTTGACAAGTTCATGGTGAAGAAGGGCTATCGTGCTAGAAGAAAGAAGTCTTCATCTAAGAACATAGAAGAGTTATGAAGGTGCTTCAAGTGTGGAAGTAAAGATCATCTTGTTGCTCAATGTCCATACAATAGCGACAATAATGATGACAAGAAAAAGGACAAGAAGGGAAAGAAAGAGAAGGACAAGATGACCTTCAAGAAGAAGAAGGGTGGTTCATATGTGGTCACTTGGGATAGTGATGCTTCCTTAAGTGATGACGATGACGATAGTGATGATAACAAGACCACCAAGAAGAAGGTTCTTGCAAGCATTGCTATCAATGAGAAGCCTTCTCTCTTCAACTCTTCATCATGCTTCATGGCTAAGGCCACTAAGGTACAAACTTGTGATGATGAAAGTGATGAAGAACATGATGATGATAATGAAAATGAAAATGATAGTGATAGTGATGATGATGAACCTACTAAGGATGAATTATTTGACATGCTAGAAGATGCTAGAGAACACTTTGACATCAAGATAATGGAATGCAAAAGCTTACGTAAGGAACTAAAAGTCCTTAAGCAAGCCTTTGATGAGCTCAATGCATCTCATGAGAGGCTAGAGGAAGCCAATGAGAAGCTTGGTAAAGCTCACAAAAAGCTTGAAAAGGCTCATTTCTCTTTGCTTAATGAGCAAAATAAAAAGAAGCATGTTGAAACTTGCAATGTAGGTTTAACTTGTGATATAATTGATGAATCACTATATATGCCTATCATTGTTCCTTCTACTAACCCTTCTTGTAGTACTTCCACTTCCACCTCATCTAGTAGTGATGGTCTCACTTGTGGTGCCTCACTAGTGGTTGAGAATGAGAATCTCAAGAAGAAGGTTAACAAGCTCACTCACACTTTGGCTAAGGCATATGGTGGTGAGGACCGCTTGCTTATGTGCTTGGGTAGCCAAAGAGCTTCCTTTACAAAGAGGGATTGGGCTATACCCCCAAGAAAAGCAAGGCAACTTTTGCTCCTCACAAGACTAGTTTTGTGAAGAACAATGGTCGGTTTTACACTAGTTGCAAACAAGTTGGTCATAAAGAGCATGAGTGCATGAACAAAAGCAAAAATGCTAATGTATCCTCCATTAAGCTTGATTCTTTCTATGTGCTTACTAAGGGTACAAATGGTGTGAAGGCTAAGTTCATTGGTAAACCATGGATGGACTCAAAGAAGAAAGTCATTTGGGTATCAAAGAGCTTAGTGACTAACCTTCAAGGACCCAAGCAAGTTTGGGTATCTAAAAAGAATTGATCTTCTTTTGTAGGTCAATTACAAAGCCGGAGGAAGGCATTGGGTTCTTGATAGTGGGTGCACTCAACACATGACCGGTGATGCAAGAATGTTTAACTC